CCCCCCATTGGCACACACATAGAAGTAAACTGTCTATGTGCAATACAGACACACTAGCAATGCTACTGACGTAACGCTGATCTACCATGCAACACAGACGTGTCCTTGTGTCGTCCACCCCTGGTAGAGAAAATAACGTAGCACAAGGCTAGCATGCAACACAAACGTGTCTCTGTCTCCACCCTTCCATTAGATGAAGATCTGGGAAAGATTTGTGGATGATAGACTGACACAACACATGACTATTTGTGAGCAGCAGTGTGGTTTCATGTCAAGAGAGAGCACCACAGATGCCATCTGTTGGAGCCCATTAAGTATTGAATGAATTAATTATTTGCTAAATGATGAATATTGATTTAAAACTACGTTAAATATCACAGATTGCAGAAGAACTATTGTTTCTTCTTATTTAGTTGTTTATGGCTCCCCCTGGTGGGACCAGCTGAGGCAGTGATTAAAACAGTGAATTCAGCTGGGCTGATTGTTGTTTTTTGCAGTGAAGGAGAGAGACGTGAAACAGTTTTCTTTACCACACACAAATTGTTTAAATTTTGAGATTTGTAAGAAGTCAACTGGGAGAATATTTTTGTTAAATTCAACAAGGAAATTAAATGCCGAACTTTTGAAACAAGAAATCTCTCCGCGAGTGCTTCTATATTTTGTTGTGCGTCGAGAACCTCCTCCACAAGGCTATTCTGGCTCAAACCTTTTGGAGCTTATGATGAAGCAAGAAGAGCCACCACACCATCTTTGCTTTGAGGATGCTGATGGAGAAGTACAGAGAGGGTCAGAAAGAACTCCATTGTGTCTTTGTGGATTTAGAAAAAGCATCTGACAGAGTGCCGAGGGAGGAGCTAACTTGTTTTACAAGGAAATCTGAAGTAGCAGAGAATGTTAAGACTGGTACAGGACATGTATGAGGACAACAGGACAGTCGTGAGATGTGCTGTAGGAGTGACAGATAGCTTCAAGGTGGAGGTGGGAGTGCATCAAGGATCAGCTCTGAGCCCCTTCTTGTTTGCTCTGGTGATGGACCGACTAACAGATGAGGTCAGGCAGGAATCCCCATGGACTATGATGTTTGCAGATGACATTGTGATTTGTGGTGAGAACAAGGAACAGATGGATGCTCCATGTGTGTCTGAAGTGCCTGGTTCACATCTCCCGAACGTAAATTAAGAAGATTATGGATCTGGTATCCTGGACGTTCAACTTTATTGATAAGATTTTTTTTCATCAAAGCGACAAGGTCCTGGAGAACCTGCGTGTCCAGCTGAGACGCACACTGTGGGGATTCTTGGGGAGAGTGGCAGCTGATGTGCTTTCTGGTAGAGTTTTTTTGATGTCTCAAATCGTGTCCTGATAGACAAGATGTGAAAGATCTATTTTTGTAATACCACTCTCTACCCTCATGTTTCTCCCCCTTTTCCTATCTAAGATTATTATTCTGATAAGGATAAGAGAGGCCGTGCTTAGAGCAGCAGCTTCGTGCACTCCATCCATCTTTCAGACGACTGCATGTACATGTTCTTGTTGTATCTCTATGCAATGATAATAAAGCTTATTCTGATTCTGAAGAGAACTTGGAGAGGTGGAGGTATGGACTTGAAAGAAGAGGAATGATAGAAAGTCTGCTATAGTAAGACAGAACACGTGTGTGAATAAGCAGGAGGCTATGAGGTGCAGGACTTCAAGTACTTGGGGTCCACTGTCCAGGAAAATGGGGAGTGTGGTAAAGAGGTGAAGAAGAGAGTCCAGGCAGGATGGAGTGATGGAGAAAAGTTTCAGGAGTGATTTGAGACAAAAGGGTGTCAACAAAGGTCAAAGGAAAAGTTTACAAGACAGTGGTGAGACCAGCTCTGTTGTATGGTCTGGAGACAGATACATGGACAAAAAGACAGGAGACAGAACTGGAAGTGTCAGAAATGAAGATGTTGAGGTTCTCCTTAGGAGAGACAAGGATGGAGAAGATCAGGTATGAGATCATCAGAAGTTCAACACAGGTTTGAGGGCTGGGAGGAGGTGCAAGATGTCCAAAGGAGGGACAGTGGGTTTATTAGTAGAAGGCTGTTAGAAATGCAGCTGCTAGAAAAAAGACCAAGAGGAAATGTATGGAGTCAGTTTTAGGACATGGAGGTAGCTGACTTGAGGACAGAGTGAGATGGAGCAGGATGACTCGCTGTGGCGACCCCCTGAAGAGGGAACAGCCTACAGTAAAAGAACAGGCATGATTTTTTTTCTCATCTATATGTGACATTACGTCAGTGTTCTAAATATATTGAGATGGACATTGTCATGCCATGACTCATCAAGTATCACCTGCACTGCCAGCAGTGCAAAACAGAGCCACATTAAATTATACATTCTGTTGCAGAGAACTCATGAAATATTAAGATGAATCCCCAGCTGTGTTTGAGTCAGTGCTTCAGATGTGTCTGCTCCTCGTGTGCCATCAGAAGTTTAAGCTTTTAACTGGTCACATTTAGGACAGTAACTCCTTATAATCAAATACATTTCAGAAAATCAAATAATATAGTCTAGAACATATTGTATCTACAAAATGCACTTGGAGAAAATATTAAATCAGAGGGAGTGAAATTGGAAACACACAGACATACCGGGTAAATGTGAGCCTGGAGTTAGAATTGTTTTTTTTATGTCATATCAACGAGACATATCTACTTTCCCACCTCTGGTTTTCTACATACCGTATTTTCTGTCCTATAAGTCAGTTTTTTTTGCATAATTTGCATGCCCTGCGACTTATACACTGAAGCGATATATTTATGGATTTTTTTCCATATTTATAAACCAATTTTTGGCTGAGATATGACCGTTTTCCTTAATTCTGACTGAAAATATTGAACACTACCATTTTCAGCTGCTAAATGGCACTCGAGTAGTATGGCATGCCATTGCATCATGTAACAGGTAAAAGTGGCTATAAATGACACAATCGGCTTGCCATAATCTGGGCCTGTAATCACAGTTAATTGCTCGGTTTTGAGTCGGGCTGGAATAAAATTATACGGGTTTGTGTCTGGTCGGATTATTTAGGCCCGAATGCAACTCTAACCCTGTTTGATTTAAAGAACAGGATCTATCAAAGTCTGATCTTCACAACGTGTTTGTGGAAGTGGATCATGGCAGGAACAAAGGAGATTCCTGAGGAGCTCAGAAAAAGAGTTATCGATGCTCATCAGGCTGGAAATTGTTACAAAACATCTGTAAAGAGTTTGGACTCCACCAATCCACAGTCACACTGATGTGTGCAAATGGAGGGAATTCAAGACCATTGTTCCCCTCCCCAGGAGTGGTGGACCACCAAAGAGCACTCCAAGAGCGAGGTGTGGTCAGCGAGGTCACAAAGGATCCCAGAGTAACTTCTAACACCTGGAGGTCTCTCTCACATTGACTGATGTTGATGTTCATGAGTCCACCATCAGGAGACACTGAACAATAATGGTGTCATGGCAGGTTGAAGGAGAAAGACACTGCTCTCCAAACAAACATGGCTGCTCGTCTGAAGTTTGATAAAAATCGTGAGGACAAACCAGAAGACTGTTAGAAGAATGTTTTGTGGATGGATGAGACCAAAATAGAACTTTTTGGTTTAAATGAAAAGAGTTCTGTTTGGAGAAAGGAGAACTCTGAATTCCTGCAGAAGAACCTTATCCCATCTGTGAAACATGGTGGTGGTAGTATCATGGTTTATGCCTGTTTTGCTGCATCTGGACCAGGTCTTCTTGCCATAACATTTCTTCAAGGTGTGCAGGACTGATCAACAGTTACCAGAAATATTTAGTTGTAGTTATTGCTGCACGGGGGGTGGGGGTGGGGGTGGGGGGTCACACCAGATGCTGAAAGCAAAGTTTAAAATACTTTTACCACTCACAAATATGTAATATTTTTGATCATTCTCCTCAATAAATAAATGACCAAATATAATATTTTTGCTTCATTTGTTTAACTTTATCTACTTTTAGGACTTGTGTGAAACTCTGATGATGCTTTAGATCATATTTATGCAGAAATTATGAAGTTTATTAAGGATTCACAAACTTTGAAGCACCACTGTGTTTATGGGTTCATCAAATTGTCAACATCAGACAAGTCTGTTCATGGAACATGAACAAACCTCTCATGCTCCCTGCCTGGTGGTCATCATCAACACGTGTATAGAGATGAGATCCACGGCTCTTTGAAAGGAACCGGATCTTGAAGATCTGTTTGCTTCATAGAGCCAGTTGATTTTGAATGACAGTGACATTATCACGCACAAATGTCGACATGTATGCCACACGTGATTATGTACATCGTCAGGGCCATAATACATTTTGTTGTGAATTAGGACCCCCCCTCCCTTTTGCCTGTTTTCTTTTGTCTCAGTGAAAAAGCAAAGGAGGAGCGATTGTATCTGTGGTTGAGGAGAAAACATGAAGATATTACGAGGAGGAAAAAAATAAAACTTGTAATGGCTCTTTATTGTCCAAATCTCAGTTCAATCAATTGTTCTTTGTAAAAAGATGTTCAAATGATCAAATGACGTGTGCACATGCAAAAAAATCAGAGCCGCTGAACAAAGGCCAGAGAGAAAGGATGCTCATTAACGTCAGGACTTGACATCAAGTCACACAGAGGCTGTCTCTAATGCCTCATGCATTGTAAAGCCCAGTCTGGTCTGGACTGGGCACTGTCGGCCCAGCCCTGGTTTCCCCCCGGCTCTGGTTTTGCCGCCTTGGTAAAGGCGGGATCATCTTAGCAAGACTGCTTGAATGTCAGCTCAGCAATAACTGCACCTCGTTGTTTGTCCTGGGCAATGGTAGTATTTTTGTGTTGCCATTATTTCTAAAGAATAAGAGCTCTCTTCATCACACAACGAGTCACAAGCAAGTAGCTGAAGGTAATGGTCGAAAGGAGCAGTCACTGTAAGAATGACTCATCTGTAATATGATACCCCCCCAACAGTCTACTGACGTCAAATCTGCAGTACCTGCCCAACCTGAAAGGAACCTCAGGTCTCTGAGTTCCAGAAATCGAGCTGGAACTGGGCCAGACTCCCCAGTGCCAACACTTAAACCGGGGTGGAACCTGGGTCGGGCCAGTCCAGGCCGGGTTGGACCTCACAATGCATAAGGGCCATTAGGTCAGTCTTCATACGCACCATCAGATAAACTTGTCAGGGAAAGTGTAAGCCATAGAAAAATGAAGCGCACAGCTGGGCAGGTTTGTATGAAAGAAATGAGAGCTTGTCTCTCTCTCTCTTTGTCCTTTACCTCTTTTCACACACTTTACTTCTCATCTTGAATAATGCCTTTCTTCTCTTTTTGTCACAGTGCAATGTATTTGTTTGGTGGCTTCAATAGCCTGCTGCTGGACGATATCTTGATGTACACCTTGCCCAGTTGCTCAGCCTTTTCCAGCCCTGAGTCCTGCAGTCATGCTGGACCTGGGATCCACTGCATGTGGAACAGCACCCAGGGGAGCTGCCTGCCTTGGGAGAGCAGTACCGGCTTCGAACAGCAGCAGCTTCCAGCCTACTGTAACACAAGATCAAGTAGGTGATGTAATCTTCAGTGAAATGCTGCATGTTAGTTCTTCTTTTTTTTACGTAATCTAAAGAGATATGATGCTTACACAACCAGAATAATTTGTCACCTGAGAAGTTTGTGAACAGGAGTTTAACAAGACACCAGTATTTAATGAAACATTCCACCACAGTCCATCAAAACAGCTTTAAAAGCTCTCACTGACTGCAGCACTGTAGCTGTGGTGTGCTCTGACAGGCGCTCTGACAGGCGCTCTGACAGGCGCTCTGACAGGCGCTCTCTGACAGGCGCTCTGACAGGTGCTCTGACATGCGCTCTGACAGGCGCTGTGACACGTGCTCTGACAGGCGCTCTGACAGGCGCTGTGACACGCGCTCTGACAGG